GATACAGATTGTTATTTATCAATATCTAAGAGATATCATCAAGGCATGGCTTATCAATATCATAAATTGTTTTGATTTTATTAAAAAAATTGATTTATTCATTTGTTTCTTATGAAAATTGTGTGAAAAAGGGGATGCAGCGTTGCGCAGAACGTTCAGGACAACAATTTTGATCTAGTCGTAAAACAACTGATCAAGCAATTGACGATTCGGGCCCACACTTTATTTAGATGTCCAAAGTCCAATTACTTAATTCCTTATTAGACCACTTTAATTTTGGACTTAACTTTAAGATAGCATTTATACACAATTAATTACATATGTCGGCTCACATGGCAAATTGAATAATTTCCCAACAATTAATATTTCTCATATGAAATTCTCGTGTCGTAGGAATTGTTTAGTAATCACAGTATTCATGATTTTAATTGATTGGTATATTATTTAATGGTTTTAAAATAATAATAATAATTATAAATTCTTTTTTCAAAACCTTAAAATTAAATTTCGATGGTGTGGCCCCGACCTAATCATTTAAAGTGGAGACTATTTATAACAAGGTAATTTTTGTTATATTTTTCAAAAAGGCTTTGTAATAGTAAATCATTTTAATAAATTGTCGCGACGTTTAATAAATTACGACGTATCATCTATATTAAACAACTTCTGCACTTTCGTTTTGTTACATGTTTTAATTGAAAAATAAAAAGCTTATGTATGAATAAATTTGAAAATCAAAAGATAAGTTTTAGATAGTCGAAACGTTACATTCATAAGATTCTCATTGTTTATCAATTTGGTTAAATTCTTCTCCTTGTACACCTCAACTTCCAAAATACAAAAATTTAAGTTAAGCGCTCCACATTATTTTAGTTGAGTAGTTATATTTCATACCATGATTTTTGTTTATTGCACCATATTTTAATTTATAAATTACAGGAGTCTCGTTCATTTTATCAATAAGTTTGAGGACTGAATTGAGGTTCTTATAAGTTTGAGAACCATATTCATGTCTCTCGAGGTCTAAATTGAGGTTTCAATGAAGTTGGAGGATTCAATTGAAGTTTCAAGATTGTTAGAGGACTAAACATTTAAGGAAAGTTTCAGGGTCGAATTTATAGTGCAAAAGAGTTAGAGGACTTGTTCGATGTTAAGAAAAGATTGAGGATCGAATTGATGTTATTTTAAAGATTCTTGGTGGACTAAATTGATGTGTAAATGAATGTGGAGGACATGATTGAAGTTTCAAGATTGTGAGAGGACTAAATTAATGATCCAATGAAGTTGGAGGATTGAATTAAAGATTAAAGATTGTTAGAGGACTAAATTGATGTTTCAATGAAGTTTAAAGATTCCTAAGGGACTAAATTGAGATTTCAAGTAAGTTTCAAGATTCTTAGAAGAATAAATAGAAGTTATGAGAAAGTAGAATGATTCAATTGAATTTCAAGATTGCTAGAGGACTAAATTGATTATTCGAGTAAGTTTAAGGATTCAATTGAAGTTTCAAATTTCACCGAGGACTAAATTGAAGTTACATAAAAGTTGAAGGATTCGATTGAATTTTATAGATTCTTAAACGAGATAATTGATGTTAAGGGAAAGTTGGAAGATACAATTGAAATTTCAAGATTGTTAGAGGACTGAATTGATTGAAAGTTCAAGATTGTTAGAGGAGTGAATTTATTATTATTCATTCAAGATTCTCGGAGGACTAAATTGATTTTATGAGAAAGCTGGAGGACTCAATTGAACTTTAAAGATTGTTGGAGAACTAAATTGATGATTCAACATTTTTGGAGGAATTAGTTGACGTTTGGAGAAGTTGAAGTATTCAAGATTCTTAGAGGACTAAGTTGAGGTTTAGTGAGTTGAAGGATTCAATTTAATTTTCAAGATTGAAAGAGGGCTAAATTGACGTTTGCAGGAAATTGGATGATTGGATAGAAGTTTTGAGGTTGTTAGAGGACTAAATTGATGTTTCAGTTAAATTTAGTATTCAATTGCAGTTTCAAGATTCTTATAGGACTAAATTGAAGTTACGAGAAAGATTAAGGAATTCAATTGAAGTTAAGAGATTATAATGGGACTAAAGTGATCTTTCATTGAAGTTTCCAGATTCTGGTTTTAATAAATATTTTGAGGATTAAATTATTGATATCGAATTGTCAGATGACCAAATTCATATTATTTAAGTAGTCATAGGATCAAATTGACGATTTAAAATAGTTTGAGGATCAAATCATATTATCAATTAGATGTAGGATTGAATTGAAATTTTAGATTAGTTGGAGAGTGAAAATTGATGATTATTAAATAGTTGAAGGATTAAATTGATGTTTCAGAATAGTTAGAGGACGAAATTAACAATCATAAATAAACTGAGGAACACTTTTGACGACTTTAAATAGTTGGAAGATGAAATTGACCTTTACAGTAGTT